AAAGGAACACTTTGAAAACACATCAGATCACAATGGGGAAAAATATCAGGCTGGATATCTATACTGATATGGACTGGGTAATGTGTTGGGAACGTAAGGATGCCCCATTGTTTGATGGAAATTAAAACTATCAACCTACAGAGCACTGAATTCAAAGACACCCCGAGTGAAAAATTGATGCAGCAGGCTAGTACATTTTGCTGAAATTTCATTGCAGCAACTCAATATGGTCCTCAGTAGTTTGTATGGCCCCCACATGCTTGTATGCATGCCTGACAACGTCGGGGGAGGCTCCTAATGAGACGACGGATGTTGTCCTGGGGGATTTCCTCCCAGACCTGGACCAGGGTATCACTGAGCTCCTGGACAGTCTGAGATTTGCAACCTGACAGCGTCGGATGGACCGAAACATGATATCCCAGAGGTGTTATATTGGATTTAGGCCTGGCAAGTGTGGGGGCCTTTCAATGGTATCAATTCCTTAATACACCAGGAACTGCCTGCATACTCTCGCCACATGAGGCCGAGCATTGTCGTGCACCAGGAGGAAACTAGGACCCACTGCACCAGAGTAGGGTCTGATAAGGATTTCATCCCGATACCTAATGGCAGTCAGGGTGCCATTGTCTGGCCTGTAGAGGTCTGTGCGTCCCTCCATGAATATGCCTCCAGACCATCACTGACCCACCACCAAAACGGTCATGCTGAACGATGTTACAGGCAGCAGAACGCTCTCCACAGCTTCTCCAGACCCTTTCACGTCTGTCACATGTGCTCAGGGTGAACCTGCTCTCATCTGTGAAAAGCACAGGGTGCCAGTGGCGGATCTGCCAATTCTGGTGTTCAATGGCAAATGCCAATCGAGCTCTATGGTGCTGGGCAGTGAGCACAGGGCCCACTAGAGGACGTCGGGACCTCAGGCTATCCTCATGAAGTCTGTCTCTGATTGTTTGGTCAGAGACATTCACACCAGTGGCCTTCTGGAGGTCATTTTGTAGGGCTCTGGCAGGGCTCCTTGCACAAAAGAGCAGATACTGGTCCTGCTGATGGGTCAAGGACCTTCTACGGCCCTATCTCCTCGAATCGGCAAACAAGCAAACCTTCTGGCAATGGCACATATTGATGTGCCATCCTGGAGGAGTTAGACTGCCTTTGCAACCTCTGTAGGGTCCAGGTATGGCCTCATGCTACCAGTAGTGACACTGACCCTAGCCAAATGCAAAATTAGTGAAAACAGTCAGAAAAGATGAGTAGGTAAAAAAAACGTCAGTGGCCTCCACCTGTAAAACAATTTCTGTTTTGGGGGTCATCTCATTGTTGCCCATCTAGTGCACCTGCTGTTAATTTAAGTAACAACAAAGCAGCTGAAACAGCTATACTCTGATTAAAAAGTGTTCCTTTAATTTTTTTGCGCAGTATATATATATAATTATACAGGATTTATATAGCGGCAACAGTTTGCGCAGCACTTTACAAAATGAAGGTAGACTTTACAGTTGCAATACAATTTGGTACAAAGCAAAAAAAATTGATTTTTACATTTAAACTCTGGTTTTCTCCAACATTCCAAGGACATGCTGGGAGGTTAATTGGCTCTTGCCAAAATTGGCCCTAGTATGTGCATGTATGAATGTGAGTTAAGCCTAGTACACACACAGGCCGAACGTTGGGAGGCATTGGCTGGTTCAATAGAAACCGGTCGACATTCGGTTCCTGTATAGGGAAGCTGGTCCGACTGAAGCCGCCCATTCAGCCGGCTTCTGTTGGAGGGGTATGACCAAAAAAGGTCTGACAATCAGCTCCAAATCAGTTCTCTCAACCAAGGTCTATGGTGCTACATAACTATCTGTAATAAATAATGACTCACTCACATCTTCAATCTCTTCCTCTCTACTGGCACTCCCCCCCCCCCCCCCCAAGCATGTCTGGTCATTCCTATACTTAAATTAAAAAGCCCTCACTGGACGCCACCAACCTGAACAACTTAAGACCCATCTCCTTGCTCCCATGCACCTCTAAACTTCTAGAACGCTTAGTCTACAGCTATCTTAGCTCATACCTCACTGAAAACAACCTTCTTGACCCCTTATAGTCTGGCTTTCGCTTGCAGCACTCCACAGGAACTGCCCTACTATAACTCACTAACAATTTACCAACTGCTAAAACCAATGGATACTACTCCATACTCTTACTACTAGACCTCTCTGCAGCCTTTGATACTGTTGACCACCTACTTCTTCTCAATAAACTCTACTGCCTTGGTCTCTGAGATTCAGCTCTATCCTGGTTCTCCTCCTACCTATCACAGTGCTCCTTCAGTGTTACCTCTAACTCTGTCTCCTCCTCTCCACTTTCTCTTTCTGTAGGGGCCCCCCAAGGTTCTGTTCTTGGACCTCTTCTCTTCTTTATCTACACCTCCTCTCTTGGTCACCTGATAACCTCCAATGCCTTCAAATACCACCTCTATGCCGATGACACCCAAATCTATCTCTCTACTCCTCACCTCACTCTTTCAGTCTCCTCTCGCATTACTAACTTAAATGACATATCAGCATGGATGTCGCACTACTTCCTTAAAGTAAATCCCTCTAAAACTAAGCTGATAATATTCCCTCCCCCTCGTGCCCTTATGCATCACTTTTCCATCAAGATCAATAGTGCAACTATCAGTCCCTCCCCTCAAGCCAAGGTAATAGGTGTAATTTTGGACTCTGACCTATTCTTTCAACCCCAAATCCAATCGCTGTCAAACGTTTGTAGACTTCACCTCCATGACATCTCTACAAATCTCTTTTTAACCAAAGAAACCACCAAGCTACTCATTCACTCCCTTGTTATCTCTCGCCTTGACTATTGCAACTCCCTTCTCATAGGCCCACCTCTCCATAGACTATCCCCCCTCCAGTCCATCATGAATGCTGCTGCCAGACTTATCTACCTTACAAACCGCTCAGTGTCTGCCACCCCTCTCTGCCAATCCCTAGACTGGCTTCCGATTGCCCAGCGAATGAAATTCAAAATACTAACAACAACATACAAAGCTATTCACAACTCTGCCCCCGAGCTACATCAGCAATCTTGTGTCCAGGTATCACCCAAACCGTCCTCTCCACTCCTCTCATGATCTCCTGCTCACAAGCTCCCTTGTCTCCTCCCATGCTCGTCTCCAGGACTTCGCCAGAGCCTCTCCCATCCCTCTGCAACTCTCTACCTCAATCTGTCCAGCTATTCCATACTCTGGCTGCCTTTAGGCGATCCCTGAAAACTCATCTCTTCCGGAAAGCCTATCGCTCCTCCGAATAGACACATATTCAGGAATTTTTTTCAGCGAGGAACGCAGGGGAATGCAGTTCTGGCACCTCCAGCACAGGATGCAATGGCAGGGGATTCTGGGGTGTGGTGGAGGGTCTATTGATGCTGGCTGCTGGGATCTATTGTTGCAGGGGGGGTCTATTGTTGCTGGGGGGGTCAGTTATTGATTCTATGGCCCTACTGTTGAGAGAGGGGTCTGATTGCTGATTGCTGGATGGTCTATTGATGCTGGCTGAGGGGAGATCCGCTGTCGCTGGGGATCTGTTGTTGCTTGGGGATCTATTATTGCTGGATGGGGAATCTATTGTTGCTGGAGGATCTATTGTTGCTGGAGGGGAAAAATTGTTGCTGACTGCAGGGAATTAGTTTTTTTCTGCTTTTCAATACAAATTACTTAGCACCACAAAATTATACTTGGTTCTGTATTTTCTAAAAGGGCGGTACTTGGTGGAGCCAAAGAACAGTGCTGGTGGGTGGGTAGGGAGGCGGAGAAAAGGGGTGACTTGGAAAGGGAGAGTTCCTGCACCTATTGTCTGAGAAAAAAGCCCTGCCTAGCTGCATCACCAACCTCATCCACAGATACCACCCAAATCGCCCACTCCGCTCCTCCCATGATATCCTCCTCTCTAGCTCCCTCATCACCTCCTCCCACGCTCGCCTCCAGGACTTCTCCAGAGCCTCTCCCATCCTCTGGAACTCCCTACCACAGCATGTCTGGTCAGCCCCCACCCTGTCTGCCTTTAGGCGATCTTTGAAAACTCACTTCTTCAAGGAAGCCTACCCCACCTCCACCTAAGAACTGTCCTTGAATCACCTCCGCCAGATCATCCCCCTTCCTTTAGACTGTAAGCTCCACGAGCCGGGCCCTCCTATTCCTTCTGTACTGAAATGTATTGTAATTGTACTGTCTCCCTTATATTGTAAAGCGCTGCGCAAACTGTTGGCGCTATATAAATCCTGTATAAAAATAATATCACTTCCATCAGCCCAGTGTTTCTCAACTCCAGTCCTCATGGACCCCCAACAGGTCATGTTTTCAGGATTTCCATTATTTTGCACAGGTGATTTGATCAGTTTCACTGCCTTAGTAATTACCACAGCTGTTTCATCTGAGGGAAATCCTGAAAACATGACCTGTTGGGGGTCCATGAGGACTGGAGTTGAGAAACACTGCATTAGCCCATCCCCCACAGTTATAACCTTTAGTACCACTTGCCCCACCCTATTAGATTGTAAGCTCTTATGCGCAGGGCCCTCTAAATCCTTGGTTTTCTAGCCATACTGTCTCCCTTTATATTGTAAAGGGCTGTGCAAACTTTTGGCGCTATATAAATCCTTTATAATAATAATAACAAAAAAGTTTCAGAATAGGTCTGGTCTTCAAGAGGTTAAAAAAAAACCAAAAACAAAACCCATAAGGAACGCATGCGCAGTAGGAGTCACTGAAAGCCCTGGTCGTCCTTGCATTCACTTAGGTGTCTTCTAATATGCCTGTATAAATAAATCATTCTCCTGATCGGAATTCTTCCCACCCCCCACCCCTAAGTCAGCTTCCGTGACATCAGCGTGCCTGCCAGAACACAGACCGGAAGCGGGCTAGGGATTCGTGTGCGTCTGTTCCGCTCAGGACTCTCGGAGGGCGGGCAGATCCGGGGTCCTTCCTCACAGAGTGGATGGAGGCCGCCAAGATGTCGTCTAAGAATTTCCGCGTCAGTGACGGAGACTGGATCTGCCCGGATAAGAAGTGAGGGAGGCGGCGTGGGGGAGCCGGGAAGGGGGCTGCGGCCTGCGAGGCCTGTAGTGACCGAGGAGGGGGATGGGAGGGGGTCGCCATGGGACCAGGAGGGGGTGTTAGTGCTGCAGGAGGACTACAACTCCCAGCAGGAACACGCTGCGGGCTTATTCCAGTCTGCATTGGCATTGAAAGGCAATGGTTAAAGCGGACCTGTCCTGTGCTGAGTGATTACTACACCCAGAGCAGCCATGACCTGTCCTGCACCTTACCAGGCCCTGCATATGGAGGCTGTGTGAGGCCTCATTCACATGGATGCTTCAGCCGCGTCTACTGCCCTGCCGTTAGGTGAGCGCAGGGTTCACTTCAAGTGCCGCAACTTTACTTCCCACCCAGGCCGATTCTGGCATTTCTCTTACATGTAAAAATCATTTATTTGCTAAACACTCAAAAAACCCAAAAATTACACACTATATAGCCAGAAGTATTGGGCCAGCCCTCCAAATCATGTGATTCAGGTGTTCCAATCACCTCCATGGCCACAGGTGTATACAATCCATCCCCTAGGCATGCAGACTGCTTCTACAAACATTTGTGAAAGAATGGGTCGCTCTCAGGAGCTCAGTGGCTCCAAGCGCGGTCCCGTGATAGGTTGCCACCTGTGCAATAAGTCCATCCGTGACATTTCCTGGCTACTAAATATTCCACGGTCAACTGTTAGTGGTATTATAACAAAGTGGAAGCAACTGGGAACAACAGCAACTCAGCCACCAAGTGGTAGGCCACGTCACATGACAGAGCGGGGTCAGCGCATGCTGAAGCGTACAGAAGTCGCCAACTGTCTGCAGAGTCAATAGCTAAAGACCTCCAAATATCATGTGGCCTTCAATTTAGCAGAACAGTGTGTAGAGATCTTCATGCAATGGGTTTCCATGGCCAAGCAGCTGCATCCAAGCCTTACAGCACCAAGTGCAATGCAAAGCGTTGGGTGCTGTGGTGTAAAGCACGCCACCACTGGACTCTAGACCAGCGGAGACGTGTTTTCTTGAGTGACCAATCACACTTCTCTGTGGCAATCCGATGGCTGTGTCTGGTTTTGGCAGTTGCCAGGATAGTGATACTTGCCTGACTGCATTGTGCCAAGTGTAAAGTTTGGTGGAGGGGGGATTATGGTGTGGGGTTGTTTTTCAGGGGTTGGGCTTGGCCCCCTAGTTCCAGTGAAGGGAACTCTTAAGGTATCAGCATACCAAGACATTTGGACAATTTCATGCCCTCAACTTTGTGGGAAGAGTTTGGGGATGGCCCCTTCCTGATCCAACATGACTGCACACCAGTGCACAAAGCAAGGTCCATAAAGACATGGAGGAGCCAGTTTGGGGTGGAGGAACTTGACTGACCTGCACAGAGTCCTGACCTCAACCCCATAGAACACCTTAGGGATGAATTAGAGCTGAGACCATGAGCCAGGCCTCCTCCCCCGACATCAGTGCCTGACCTGACAAATGTGCTTCTGGAAGAATGGTCCAACCTTCCCATAGACATCCTCCTAAACCTTGTGGACGGCCTTCCCAGAAGAGTTGAAGCTGTTATAGCTGCAATGGGCGGGGCCAACTCTATATTGAACCCGACGGACTAAGACTGGGAGGCCATTAAAGGATAAGTTCACCTTTTGGACAAAAATAAATGCACATTTTTTTTTTTGCAGGTAAACAAATGTGCATTTATTTTGTCCAGAGTAGCCTGGAATGCATTGCACTAGCAATCAGTAGAGCGCTGATGCCATGCAGGTTCCCAGCTGATAGGAAGCTTCAATGAACTACCATGGCGCTCCACAGTGCCCTGGTAGTTCATTGAAAGCCACAAGACGGCTACAGCTCAGACGATCTGTTCTGCGAAGGCGTCAATAAACGTCCTCCCAGAACTACCACATTCACAACCCCCCCCCCCCCCCCCCCATGTGCCTCCTGTGGCGCACTCTGTGACAGCTGTGTACTTAGGTCAGCTGGTCACAGATCGGGGTAAAGGGCCAATCAAACAGCCCTTCTTTACCATGTGATCAGCTGTGTCCAGTCACAGCTGATAACGTGTAAACCGTTTTCTGAAGATCGCCATTCTTTTCCTCCCACACTGTGTCTGTATGAGCAAAGGGGAGCAGTTAACCGGTAAACCTGTCAGGACCTTTACTGATCATCAGCCTCATGGGTGCCCATCAGTGAAGAAGAAAATGTACTTATTTGCAAAATTTTAATAGCAGAAACTAAAGTAAAAACTTTTATTTTTTTTAATTTTCTGTCCTTTTTTTTTTTTCATTTGTTTAGCAAAAATTAAAAACCCAGTGGTGGTTAAATACCACCAAAAGAAAGCTCTGTCTAAAAAAAAAAAAAAAAAAATTAAAAAATTTCATTTGGGTGCAGTGTTGCATAACTGCAATTTGCATTCAAAGTGCAGCAGCACTTAAAGCTGAAAATTGTCCTGAGCAGGAACGGGGTGTAAGTGCCCGGTAGTGGTAAAGGGAATGTTTGGGGATCCCCAGGTAACCAGAACTAGTGTCCCTATTGGAAGATTTCCCTTCTGTTACTTTTCTGGGGGCAACCCAAAATTTGGGGTTTTCTTTCGCTGATGACGGTAAACAGGACAAATAGAGGGGGTGAATCTTCCTAATGTGGGAGTAGTTGGCAATAAAAACCTAATGGGTGTTCCAATCCCTCTCCACTCTGTCCAACAAAAAAAAACAAATTGCCTTTAGTTTTACTTTAACCTCTTGGCGCCGGCGCCTCCCAGCCCTTTAAGGGTTCCAGAAGCCAGGTGGGGTTTTAGGGTCATGTGACCGCCGTGATTCGCTGTCACGGCGGTCACATGATGGGGAAAGGTCCCAATCGAAAGAGGAGATCGGGACCTTTTACGTGAGTACCGAACGTGTGTGCTGGGAGTGCGCAGGGCACGTGCTTTCAGCACATTTTTTTTTTTTTTTTTTTTCTAATAGACCGCAAATGTGTGGCCGCTCAGCATCTAGGCCCAGACTCCTGGAGGTCGCACATTTGCGTTCGGCCGGTGCCAAGAGGTTAACTTGGCAGAGAAGTGCCACTTACCAAACCCACCCAGTGAAGTCAGTGGGACTGTGTTGCTACCATGAGTCAAGCACTTGGTTGTGGCAAAGTAGTTTAATGGAAAGCTGCATTTACTTCTATATTCACATATACATGACTCCAGGGATGTGTGGAATTCACTACAGAAATGTGCTGCCATTAATGCTTAATGTCCACCCCCCTCCCCCCCCCAACAACAACACACCACACACACACACTTCTCACGGTGCCACTACATCATGCAGTTCCATGCAGCTTTGTTTTGGGAAAAAGGTTTGTTGCCTGCATTTTTTGCAGGTACAGCAGCCCATTCATTTGAATAGGCTGCTTGTGTGCAAACACACCCACACCGAGGACCAAATATGTAAAGCTAGGCACGGTTCACACATATGCAAGTCGGGAAGCCCTGCACAATTGCCCCGGTTTCCAACCTGCAGACAAAACGTGTTGCTCTTTAGCAGATGTGCGGGGGTGGCATTGATTCTGTGCAGCTGCATGTTGGAAAAAGGGTTGGGGGGGCTTCCTCCCCACATTTTCTGCAAGTACAGCAGCCCATTCACACTCGGAGGAAAACTGGTATCAAGTGATAGAGGTTTCCGGCATTTACATGGATGGGATGTGATGTTTGATCAGCACCCTCTGGTGGCAGGAGGTGCGAGGGCATCAGAACAGGAGCTGTCCGCTCAGTTGGTGGGAGTAGCTTGCACCTGGTGTCGGTGGTGAATGAGCTGCTGGGGGCCTGCATGCCAGGATGCAGTTTCTGGTGACCTGGCACCTGGGATTTGTCGATCCCTGGCCCACACCCTGGCAGTAGATTGTTCATCGGCATCCTCCTGTCTCTGTGGGAGCAGAGAATTGGGGAAGTAAGGCTGTTTTTCCTGATTTTTGCAGTGCGGCAGGGTGGGCAGACCTGAGCACAGCTACTTTTTTCTAAACTGACAGCATGTTCAGAGAGAAGATCCCCGGCCCACTGTCACAATGGGGGGGCTCGGGGAGGGAAGGGGGAGTGCGTGGGCTACTGCATCAGTAACATGCTACACCCTTAAGGGTGTAACATGTTACCAAAGATGACTCTGAAAAGCAATGAAAGCAGCCATAGCTGACCTCTACTGAGAATGCTGGTTCCTTGCCTGCTGTGCAGATCCAACGGCTTTAGAGTATTTGTAAACTCAAACCACATTAAGCCTTTAATGGCAATATATAAATACTGAATACGAACATCCTGTGAAAATTCAAAGGAATTGCTAAACATATCTTTGTTTTTGCCGATGTCATCAGTGCAGTCATGTGACCGCTCAATCTTCTCTTCTTCCCCCCAGCTAATAGCACTGGAGGATGACTCTCATGATGCTCAGCGCCTTGCCTCAGCAGTATTGACAGGAATGCTCCCTACAAGATCTGCTGTCAATCTATGGCTAGGGGTGAACAGGGAGGCATGTAGTTTGTGCAACCACAAGCAGACTACGAGAATGTATAGGAAGCCATACATTTGTACAGTGTCTCACTTCCATAGGAGAATTTTTTATTTTCTGTGAAGTTCAGCATTAAAGTAAACTAGTACTCTGCCACATGCTGGTAAAGGTGTAGTCCCCCTGTGACCACTGTACTATGTTTGTTTATATTCACCTAGTGAATACAAATATCAATAAACTGTTGCATTCAAATGTGAAAACCACATATAAAAATAAAAGAAAATAAAGTCCTATCCAAGGTGTGCTGGATTATGAAACCCCACTTCAGTCCGGGTTCACACTATACGGTGCAGGACATTGCATGTAATTCGCACAGGAATTGCAACGCATTCCTGTGAAAATTGTATGCAAATGTCTGTGCGGTGGGATTTGAGCCATACATTTTGTATGGTTTAAATCGCATCAGAACCAAAAAGGTGCAGGGCCCTATTTGAAATCTGCACCTGAATTGCAT